GTCGCCAAGCAAGGCTGTCCGCCATTTTTTTTTGTCTGCCATTTTTTTCCCCTTTTCCGGCGGGTGCCTTACCTCCCTTGAGCTGGGCCAGCTGGTGGTCGGCCTGCTCCGTCTCTGCTGCTTGCCAGCTATGCCTCGGCCGGCGCAGGGGGCGGAACCACGCATGCGCGGCGCTCCCGGGCAGGGAAAGTCCTCGACTTATGACCGGTTGGGTAGTCCTCGACTTACGACCAGTTTAGTCCTCAACTTACGACCGGTTTAGTCCTCGACTTACGACCGGTTTAGTCCTCGACTTACGACCAGTTGGGGTCGCGGCATTAAAAAGGTTGAGAACCACTGCTCTAAGGAATGTAAATTTTGAAAAATACATGTATATTTTCTCTACCTGTCACTAGTTAGTTCTGTGTATAAAAACAATGATTTTTGTCTAATCTTCTCTTTTCTCAATGAATACTACAGTAAAAGGAATTGACATCAAAGTGCCTTATATAGTAAGGTATTCTGAAGCTATATTGCTTTCTCGTTGTTTCTCACCTCTTCCATTCATGCTCAGAATTCACACGTTCACACACACACAGGTTTGCTTCTGTACAGATTAGTCAAATGCAAATCCCGCCACGGTGGCGTATTTAAACCATACTTAAACCAAATCAGCTTAGCATATATTAAGCTAGCCTTACATACAATGAAATATTCAAAGACACGGGATAACGAGTTTTACGCGCCGGTTCACACATTTTTCAACACAGGTGGAATGTTTTTGTTTGTTCTCGATAAAGGTAACCAACTGTATTCCACACTGTGGAAGAAAAAATATAGCAACTCAACAGGGTTGGTTTTCTACCAAAAGCAAAACAACACAGCCTTTTTTTTTATGGTATGGTTAGAAGAATTTTTGGAAGGAAGCATACAGACAACTGTTAACAGGAAGAATATTACGGCTGTGATCTGCTTCCTGCTTGTTTTAGCGTCTGCAAGTTTATATTTATAGAAATGTAAAAGGTAGACTTTCAAAATGTCTTATGACTTTTTTCTTCCCATTGTTAATTGACTTGAGGACCAGATAATAGGCAACTGGCTTTTTATCAGAGCTACTCAGTCTAGTAGTAAGGATCTAGAAACAACCCATGCATACTTTCCCACCACAGTCTCTTCAGAAGAATTACAATTTTGCTTGACTGGCCTGGTAGAAATAATAAGTTACAGGACCCTTCCATCAGGAAGGGCCTATAGCAGGGGTAGGCAACCTTGGCTCTTTTATGATTCGTGGACTTCAACTCCCAGAATTCCTGAGCCAGCATGGCTGGCTCAGGAATTCTGGGAGTTGAAGTCCACGAATCATAAAAGAGCCAAGGTTGCCTACCCCTGGCCTATAGCATTCATCACCTTCTCAATGAACCAAAAATGATTTGCACACTACGATTGAACCAGGTTTTAAGCATAATCCGTGAATTAAGTTTTGGAATGCTCCACGGTTGTCTAGGATACATAATACAAACATTTTCCATTTCAAAACAAATTATGTAGTCAATTACATTCCAGCAAAACAATAGGTCTGGGATCCAAATTTGGGCAAATCCTTTGTTTTTCAGAAATGCTACGCCGTACTTTTCTATACTTCGTTTGGATCTCAAATTCCAAAATCGGGGGGGGGGGGGAAATGTTTATCAATCCAATTCCTAACGATTATAATTGCTGACACTCTTCTTCGCCTACTACATAATGCAGGTTACCGCCTTTGACTTAAGCAGTTCATTTACTAACCATTCAAAGTTAGAAAGGCATTGAAAAAAGGTGACTTGTGACGGTTTTTCGCACCTACGACCATTGCAGCATCCCCACGGTCACGTGATCAAAATCCAGCCGCTTGGCAACTGACTCACGTGTATGACGGTCGCAGTGTCCCGGGGTCACGTGATCCCCTTTTGCAACCATCTGACAAGCAAAGTCAAGGGGGAAGACAGACTCACTTAACAACGGTGTGACTTAATTTAGCAACTAGGGATTCGCTTAACAACTGTGACAAGAAAGGTTGTAAAATGGGGCAAAACTCGCTTAATAAATGTTTCGCTTAGCAACAGAAATGTTGGGCTCAATTGTGGTCCTAAGTCAAGGGCTACTTGCATGTTAAAAAATAAAGGGAAGCCAGGGCGTCATAACCAGCCTAATCCCAACAATTCAAATCCTAAATTGGGAAAGATACAGATTGAAAGTGGTTTCTTCTTAAATTCTAGCGTGAGATGGAGAGCATGAAGAAGCTCAGAGCACTTCTTTTTTTTAAAAAAAAAGGAGCATTTATCATGTTGTTGCATCAGTCAAAGCAGGTAAGTGGAAGGAGACTAGGAAGGACATATTTCTGGAGGAAAAAACAAAAGATTAAGGCTAATATATTTGGGCTGTAAAGATGGGAGAGAAGCACTAGACGACAGCAGAAAGAATTAGAAAATTCTAACACACTGCTTCCTTCTAGAGGCCGTCCAGGTTTTTACACGCCAAATAGAACAGCCCTACAAAAAGGTAGAAATGACAATATCCAATGACAGTTTAGTTTCAGATGAACAATTGATTTAAACAAAGGGTGTCAGCACTCCGTAACATTTTCAGCACACTGCGTAAACCTCAAAGGGAAAGCACAAAAGCAGCCTCTTACAGAAACTGCCTGACATTGTTAAGACAGGTTGATCGAACTGTGTACAAAACGACCCACAAAAATAATGGCGCTTGCTGACATCGGCAATCTGAAAGGGCTATAACCGTCACTTTGTATAGGGAAAACCACGTTGACTCCTATATTCATAGCAGGAGCCTTCTGGAAATCATCCTCAATGCTTAAAATGCACGGCAATTATTATCTGGTTTTATATGTTTTAAAGGTCCAAAGGTATATTTTTTTTCTGGCTGTGCTTTTCTTTTTTTAAGACGATATATTAAAGCTTCAAAATACCCATAGAGTTCAAAGTGGAAGAGGCTAAGAATCAACCATGACTATTCTATCAAATGCTCGGTTACCACAGGTGGATTATTGTCCTTGTACCCAATCTCTGCATCTCTGCCTTTTCTTTTAAATTTTCACAGTTCTAAGGAGAAACTTCCTGACAGTGAGAACAATTAACCAGTGGAACAACCTGCCTCCAGAAGCGGTGAATGCTCCAACACTGGAAGTTTTTAAGAAGAGACTGGACAGCCATTTGTCCAAAATGGTATAGGGTTTCCTGCCTGAGCAGGGGGTTGGACTTGATGACTTCCAAGGTCCCTTCCAACTTTATCATTATTATTATTACTCACACAGTATAACAAAGCACGCCAGCGGACATTTTCACTGGGTTTCTGCCTCTCTTTTGTATGGGAAAGGGCAGTATATATATTCCCTACCGCAGATCAATTTTAAATTCCCATTGAGGGCTAGCCGATTCTCAACCTTTTTCTAGCACTGGCTCCTGTGACATTTTGTCACCAGCTGGATGCAGGCCCACACATTAAACGTCGCTGTAAAACAGTCCCACTCACAAATGAAGTCTAAGGATTGGCTTCTCTCTAAATAAATGACCACAATTACAGCACCGCAAGCCAAAACAACTCAGCGATGTGACAAGGAGAGGTTTATTGCGTGCTCAACCAAATGGCCAGGCCAAGGTTGCGGTGAAGATCGTCATCACCTGGATGGCAAAGCTGAAGACTCAGAATGGAATTGACAAGACGGGCGGATATTTTAGTGGGTATTTTTTCATATTATAGCTGGGAATAATGGAAGAGAGTTTGTGCCATAAAAGAGGGCAGAAATAGGCAGCGGTTCTTGGGTTCTGTTATATAAAGGAAAACTTTTTTTTAAGTTCTGGCCCAGAGGGAATTAAACTAAGCATATTCCTAACTGTATTTAGCCAGATGCATGAGGGAAATTCATACTGATCGGGCGCTATATTCTTGGTTGTAAATGCATTGCTCTTTATTTTTCCTTTCTTAGATGTATTGTAAAACCCTCTTTAGTTATCTGCAGAATTGACAGGGGGAAAAAGAAATAAGTGGATCAGTGCTAGTCTATTGATACATTTTGTTCAAATAACTGGTAAACTGTAGTACTGTTGTTTTTTGTATCCCTCTTTTTTTGTATTTATTTATGATTTGCCACCCATTAGGACTCCACTTTAGTGATATGCCAGTCAAGAGTACTCAAATGTTCAATCCTTGCTGAAGTCTAAGGTTCAAAAGATGGGGAAAGGGAAGAAAGTTTTGTCTTAATTCTGATATATTGTCTAGCATCCGACCAAAAGGAAGTGTACCTTTCCTATTCTTCTCCAGATTAAGATTTTGTGGAAATTCAACAACAAATTCTATCTTACTTTTAATACATCTATCCATTTTTTTAATATAAGAATATTTCCCTTTTGTTTTGTTTTTTTATACCAGGACGGAGATTTTTTTCCCAAAATAAAAATAATTATTATGAACCTTTATTAAGCGGCTCACATTTTAATATAAATCACACTAAAAAGTTTTTTTGTTTTCGTTTCGTTTTGTTTTGTTTTTTTTAAAAAAGCTATTTACACTACAGTGCTGACACATTAAAAAGGAGAGGAGAAAAAAAAATGGTATAAATAAGCTCTATGGAAAAGCCTGGAATTGTCAAAAAAGAATTCTGGCTTATCTTACAAAATATATATATATATATATATATAATGTTAAATGTCAGCTCTATTCTAAAACCTACAACTCATATTTTAAAGACTTTTTTTTTTATGTTATACCTGCAGTGTTTACAGTGCGTCTGGCCCTAAGTGCTTTCAAACGTTTACAGTTACGGACAGGCACTGAGGAATGTTACAAAGCTACATAAACTATTTTATGCTGCAACAGCTGCAAGGGCAGGTTTTAAAAAAAAAAAAAAAAAAAAATCCTGCCTCACAGAATGTAAGATGTAAGCCTCCTTACATTGTGTCGTTATATTTTAAAAGTATTTTAAAAACATATACGCCCGCCCACGCCCACACGCACGCGCACGCACACACACACACACTTAACACAAAAAATCGTCTTCTGGTTTGCCATGCAGACTCGGGTAAGTTGAGCTCCTCAGTCTCGTGTCTTCCTGATTCACACGACCCCCGGGGCACAGGCTGTCCTGCGTGTATTGGTGGCCGGGCTCGGGGTTCGAGTCAGTCTCAGGTCTCCAGCCTGTCAAGTGAGCGTGATCCGGTCTCGCTTTAGCTTTCTGACATTCCGCAGCTCTGGAGGCCGCCGTCTTTTCGGGAAGGTCCACCGGAAGGGGGTCCCCTGGACTCTGGAGAGAGAGAGCGGGTTCGTGGGGCGGGCAGGGAACCTCCTGCTTCGCGTGTTTAGTCTGAAGGCTACTGGAGAATTTGGTTTCTTCGGAGGCGCCGATGTCCGTGGGAGGGAGGGCGCTGCCGGCCTGAAGTCCCGTAATAGAAGAAGACGTGGGATCGGTTGGGGGGTCCGTTTCGCAGGGGGCTTGGTTCTCGGCCTCCGAGTGGTACAGCTTGAGGCGCACGTGCCACGCCAAGCTACACACAGCTGAAACTGTCTTGAATTGATGTATAACGTTCCGCGGTATAAAATAAATATCGTTATCGTACAACTGGATCCTGGCGTAGCGGATGCCTTCCCTTCGTAACTGGTTCAGTTTCGCATCGTCCACCCACTGGACGCACTAGAAAGAAAAAGGGAGAGAATAAAGACCTCCTTCAAATATCCTGTAACATTCTTCTTCAACGTCATCCAATCGATCAAGGCAGTTACCTGAGAAAGCGGCGGCTCGTGCAAATCTAGCTGCAGTCGTTGAACTACCTCTAAGAAATCGTCCGCGTGAAAACAAATTACGTCTTTGGTTATGCGAGGCTGTTCAACCCTACACAAGGGGAGGGGGGGGGAAAAAGTTGACATTCAGGATTATTCAAAATTGTAACTAAATACTTATAAAGCAAGTTAAGCAAAACTCTATAAAAATACCTTATAAAGGGTCTACGACAATTCGCCGTGGCCCACTCACCACAGCCAACACCCTGCGGGACAACTTGCCCTGCATGACTTGCTGTGCGACAAGAGTTACACTAATATCAAAAAAAGGGTGGAATGGAATCATTAAAGAATATTCGAAAGAATATTAAAGAATATTCATTCGACAGAATGAAATTGGAATGACAAACATTATTTTTTTATTTATTTTAAATAATCAAATTGAATTGTTAAGCGGTCCCACCGCGACATGTCCCACGCTGCGTTGGCCGTGGCAAATGGGCTGCAGTGGGTTGTCCTATTCCAACCTGTACAGGTAATCCTCGACTTACAACAGTTTGTGTAGTGATCGTTCGAAGTTACACCGGGACTGAAAAAAGGGACTTATGACCTTTTTTCACACTGATGACCATTGCAGCATCCCCGTGGTCATGTGATTTTACATTCAGATGCTTGACAACTGGCTCATGTTTAGGATGGTCGCAGCGTCCCGGAGTCATGTGATCACCTTTTGTGACCTCCTCACAAGCAAAGTCAAAGGGGAAGCCAGATTCACTTAATAACGGCGTTGCTAACTTCACAACTGCAGGGATCCACTTAACAAACCTGACAAGAAAAGCCGTAAAATGGGGCAAAACTCACTTAACACATTTCTCCCTTAGCAACATAAATTTTGAGCTCCATTGTGGCTGTAACTCGAGGACCACCTGTATTCCAATTTGGGGGAAGCCCAAATACTAAGCAATCAAGAGCAACCGAAATTGTTAAAATTCTTTTCATGGAACAGCAGCACAGACCAACACCCATGTTAGATCTGCATGAGCAAATAATAGCAGTGTAGACCATATCCTCTGGAACATTGGCTGATGTCTAAAAGTAAAACCTGACTAAGCTTAGAGGTAAGGCTAAAGACACCTCTAAGCTGAGCACCGGTAGGAGTGGGTGGAAACAGCCAAAGAATAAATTTCACCATATAACACAGGCTATAATTGATGGATAACCTAAACTCTGAAATGCCCATTGCATGGACTTGCGAAAAGTATGGGGTGGAAAAAAAAAACATTTCTAATATTTGTACAGCTAGTCCAGGGGTAGGCAACCTTGGCTCTTTTATGACTCGTGGACTTCAACTCCCAGTATTCCTGAGCCAGCATGGCCCAGCTTGGAAACCTCTCCCTTTCCCCTCAGCATGGCTGGCTCAGGAATTCTGGGAGTTGAAGTCCACGGGTCATAAAAGAGCCAAGGTTCCCCACCCCTGCCCTATATCAGGGGTCGTCAAACGTGGCCCTTTTATGACTCGTGGACTTCAACTCCCAGAATTCCTGAGCCAGCATGGCTCAGCTTGGAAACCTCTCCCTTTCTCCTCAGCACGGCTGGCTCAGGAATTCTGGGAGTTGAAATCCATGAGTCATAAAAGGGCCAAGGTTGCCTACCCCCGAGCTAGTCCTTGACTTAGAGCAGTTTATTTAGTGACCATTCAAAGTTACAACGGCACTGAAAAAAGTGACTTATGACTGTTTTTCACACTTATGACTGTGGCAACATCCCCATGGTCACACAATCAAAATTCAGACTATGGGCAATTGACACATATTTATGACGGTTAGTAGTCCTGGGGTGACGTGATCTCCTTTTCAGACCTTCTGACAAGTCAAGTCAACGGGGAAGCCAGATTCACTTAACCACCGGGTTACTAACTGAACAACTGGTGTGATTCACTTAACAACTGTGGCAAGAAAGGCCGTAAAATAGGGCAAAACTCACTTAACTGCTTCATGAGTCAAGGACTACCTGTACGGAACTATGTCTTCAGTGTGATATAAATCATAGCAGTACCTAAACTGCGCTTGGGGTGAAAGTCATTTAAAGTGGGACACAAAAACCACATTTAGCAAAGCAGTGGTGGAACGTTACGTTTGGGTGACGTTCATTTATGGAGAATAAAACTAGGGATTAGCAGCTATTACAATTGCAAACGGCACATCTCCATTTGCATGTCTGTGGAACTGTCTAATCTTGGAACTGTGAACATCCAGATGGTGAATGAATGAAACTTAGGCTTTAAGGAAAAAGTTACATAACATCACCCATAATGAATGACTCATAACTATGTCGGATTTGCAATGCAGATGAGACTGGTTTATTCTGGCACACAGTTCCTAAAACACTCAGGCATTTGGGGATGAAAGATCAATAGAAGAGGAGAAAAAAAAAAATCAGCCAGAAGACGATCTTGGCATTTTGGCATCGGGCTGCACAATCACAGATGGAGCGCCCAACTGATTGCAGTAGGCAAATTGCATCAACCAGTAGTGCTGAAAGCCATCGTGAACCATCTGCCGATTCTATTTTGCAATTTACCGAGGTAGGATTTAGATAATTTACATTATCATATTTTTTTTTCAAAAATAGCTCGTCTTCTTTGTGCCCAAAATAGGAAGTATTAGAAGAGGAAGCTGAAAATATCACTTTAGCAAATGAAAATTCTGCTCCTCCAAGCGCTCCCTCTCACCCATCAGACAAAAAACAAGGAGAATGAAGATGAAAAATTTAATATTTAAATCAATCCCACCAGCCAATGAAACATTATTGCAACCAGGAAGAGATGATAATAGCTTTGTTGGAAGATAAAGCAGGTAGAAGTTGTAGAGCAGTGTTTCTCAACCTTGACAATTTTAAGGCATGTGGACTTCAACTCCCAGAATTCCACAGCCAGCATTGCTGGCTGTGGAATTCTGGGAGTTGAAGTCCACATGCCTTAAAATTGTCAAGGTTGAGAAACACTGTTGTAGAGGGACGACTAGTCTAATGAATTTCATAAACCACCCTCTGAAAGCTGGCTGCTGACAACTTTAAAAAAAGCAAATAAAATTTCTAGCCTTCATTAAGGAAAAAAAATGCCTTACAATGTTGATAACTGCAGTTTGAAGGACTTGGAGGCCATGACTACTGCAAAGCCATCCAAAAAGCTGTTGGGTTCTATTTTCTAGTGACTAAGAGGTAGAGGGATCAGAGAGTGAAACGCAGAAACTACATGGATCAAGAAATCAAGATGACGATAAAAGAAAACTTGTGAAATGCCAAAATAAATTACTGGCGTTGAAGTCCACCTTGATAATTTGATTTTTATCATTGGTTTCTCATCCCATCATAATGGCCAGTGTACATGCTCTTCAAGAGAGAAACATACAGGAACAGCATGTTTCAAGATTATTAAAATTGGACATTTTCAAAAAAGTACTTTTTCTCCTCTCACCCTCTCTCTAATACTTACTCTCCCTCTCTCTCCCTCCCTCTCTGTGCATCTGTGTATGTCTATTGGTTTTTCTTCTCCTACTGCATTCTGTAACTAAAAGAAAGTTGATCCCGGTACACAACTACTGAAAAATTAAATGTCATGCAGCGGTGTTGTTTTTGTAGCTGTACTCAATGTAAAATGAGCTACTGAGAAATGTCCCATGTATTGAGCATACTGTGGATGTAAAGCTCATTTGGCATATGCTTAAACTTAAATTTGACATAAGGAAGACATTGTAGTAATCGATGCCAAAGTTCTGCATCTTGTACTATGATTTAGTTTCTGAGCAGGACCATCCCATAATTGTTGCTTAGTGAAGAGAGAACCAAATAGTTTGGCAACAGACACCACACAGAAATGAATTGAAGGAATGTTTTGCTTTTACACTGAGTTATGAGAAGAGAGTAAAGCAATAGGATTCATAAGTCAGACAAGCCACTGACCCAGCATCTGGTTAGCACTGCCTGGGCTTAGAAGCTATGCTGAGACCATCTTGATTAAGTATAGGGATGAGAAACCTTTAGACCAGGGGTCTTCAAACTTGGCCCTTTTATGACTTGTGGACTTCAACTCCCAGAATTCCTCAGCCAGGCACGCAAGTCCACAAGTCATAAAAGGGCCAAGTTTGAAGGCCCCTGCTTTAGACTATTCTTAGTGCTGTTGACTAGTCAGGAAAACAGACAGAGACAATGTATGATTTCCAAGAAAACTACATGGAGAATGGAAATATCCATAGAATAAGTCACTAGGACTTGGAGGCTTTACTACTACCATCTACATAATCCAATTTCAAACCAAAAGATTAACTATTATTCTTCCATTCTTCCATTCCTTAAGTGTCAGGCAATTAGCAATTCTCCAAATCAAGATATAATTTTCATTTTTCTAGGTAACTGTGTGGATTACCCCTACTGATAAAATATGGCAACAAGAATTCTTCCTCCTTCAATATCATTTTAAATGTCTTTCTTTAATGCTACTGAATGCTGTTTAGTATGAAAATTCTTACTAAATGGTATCTCTATTGATAAAATGTCTAGAAAAAACTAGACAGGGGAAAGGATATTTAATCCAACCTCCCAGATTGGCAGGTTTGAAGATATCCAGTGAAAAAGATCTTAGCATCTCTTGGTTTAATTGGTTCAACTATCAACCTGCTCTTATCAATAGGATATCTTTCCTAATCCAAAATTGCCTTGATCTATAATTAAAAATCATTGTGTAGGGGTCCTTGGTGCTCTCTGAGCCTGGTGGTTTTCTTGCAGGCGTTTCATTACCCAATTAAATAACTTTATCAGTGCTACAAGGGAGTGGGGTCTGCTCTTACACCAGGGGTGTCAAACTCGCAATGTCACGTGACGTGTCGCGACATATCGCAACTTCCCCCCCCCCATTGCCGGAGCTGGGGTGGGCGGGTTTCGGCATGACGCATCTGGCCTGTGGGCTGGCAATTTGGCACCCCTGTCTTACACTGATAGGGCAAGCCGTTAGTATATAAAAATAAGAGCAAATTCAAACTCTACTCCCTTTTAGTACTGATGGTGTTACCTAGTTTGGTCATGAAATGTCTACAAGAAAAGCACCAAGCTCAGAGAACACCAAGTATCCCACAATTCAACTCCGAGCTATAAATATTCTCAAGATCCACGTTCCGTATCTTGCACTTCTGAATGACAAAAAAACAAGGCTGGATATTTTTCTGTGAGACAACCCCTTCAAATACTTGAAAGGTGTTATCATAACTCACTTTCAGGCAGTTTTTCTCATTGCTAAGACATGTCTAGTATTCTGCAGATGTTTTCCTGAACCGGGCGGCCATTACATACCATTCTCCACAATGCACTGCCTTTAACACTCCGACGGCAGCTGTGGTCTGTCGTTCAAATCCTTGTCCTATGTGATCTGCATGGGCTCGTGTCCTGTCTTCGAAAAGCATTTCACGAGGCTCGCTAGTACGAGGTAGGTACTGCAGGTTTTTAATTTCATTGGTAGTTCTGTTAAAACAAAATAACAGAAAGGCTGCACCTCAGTCACATTTTAAAGATGTTGGCTGCGCAGGTTTAATTTCACTCACAGCATCAAATGGGGAGATACAATTGGGGGGAGAGAGTCCCGCAAATAACCCAGTCCCGAGCCATACTGTACAGTAGTGGCCAAAATTGTGGAAACCTTTGGGGAAAAGTGTATTTTTGAGGTTTGATGGGCTAATAACACCACTTTTTGGGGAGTAGTATCATAAAATTATATATCAATGGGAAAGATAATTTAATCAAGAATGTAATGCAACAAAGTTGGTTCAATTATCTGTACTGTATTCTATAAAAAGCTATATAGCCAAATAACCAGAAAAGGGAAGCACAACTTGCTTAGGTTGATCTCAGGTAGCTTTCCTTCATCTGGTTGTAGCCAATGAGCGTGAGTGTTTAGAGAGCCAATCAGGTGTCATCTTGTTTTGGCAATGAGCCAATCCGATCACAGTAGGATTCAGTTATTGACATCATGTATTGAAGCTGAGAGGAGGACATTTGTCAGTGTGTGATGTGATCGCTATCAAGTTGGTTGGGGTTTTTTTGTGTTCTTTCATTTAGTGAGCTTGTAAAACGTCATAAAATTAAAGTCATGGTGCAAAGAGTTGACTGGTCACCCAGAAAGCGATGTAAAACAGTATTATTAAGTTAACAAGGCTACCGTTATAAATTAGAAGAAAAATGGGTGGAAACTTAACCAAAGGTGGCATTTCTACTGTACACTTTCCCCAAAATGTTTCTAACATTTTGGCCACTACTGTATATAACACAGACTTTTCCAATTCTTCCATGAGGGAGGATGGACTGAGAAAGGGCAATTGGTCCAAAGAGCACCAAGTGAGCTTCTATGGCTAAAAGTGGACGAGAACCTGGGTTTTCCCTTATCCTAAACCCTTTGATCCCTAGATACTGACTCTTTAATTAACATAGCCATAACTGAATATCCCTTTTCATAAAAGAGGCCTCCACCACACTGTCAATATATGGACACTGAGGCAGAGTTCTCAACATTGCAGTATGTTTGCCTAAAGATTAAATAAAAACCTTAAGGCCGGAGTCAAGGGTATGAGGACATCGTGGATCAAACTCTGCAAAAATCGGTATTTTACTTATGAAATTAAATCATAGATTTACCCCGATTTTTTTAATAGCCTGCGTTATTTAAGACATCCTTAGCAGTAGCCAATTTGTTGTTATTTAACCACTGAATGTCACCAAAGATAGCAACTCATCACTGAAACCAATTTTGTATTTTTCTTCCTTCCTTCCAGCCTTAAGTCCTATATATTCTAACATCCCGTTTTCTTCTACAATTTTTGCCCTTCTAACAAAGTTCTTATCATTTTTACCCAAATCCATTTATAATTTTTTAAAAATAAAATCTAAGTCTCTAATATTTCAGTGTAAACGTACAGTCCACACCGTACTTTTGATACATGATTTGTACATTCATTTTTTTTTAAATGATCATCCAGTTTCATTTGTAAATCCAGCATTTCCATTTCTTTCTTGTAAGTTTCTTTTTTTTTTTAGTATTTGGGGGAGGGGATTCCCCCCATTTTTTAAAAAATGTATTTTTTATATTAGGTTGATGAATTTGTTTTATCTATTTTGTTTGATAATTATTGAAATGATTGGGGGGGAGGGAACCCGAATAAAATCAAACTGGCATACACGTTGCATGAAATGTGGGCTGCTTAAAGGGAATAATTATTAAATAAATTTATTTCTTTGGCAGGAAATAGCATCTTTAAGAACAAGAAGTGGGGGAGGAGAGAAAGCAAGAACATTAAACATTAAAGATTATAGAATCTTTAATTAGCTATCTGACAATCAATCTCTGAAGCCCTTGTTAAACCTCAGCTGCCATTTAGGAGAAAATATGTGATAACTGGGAAAGCAGTTCTTTAGGGTGTGCCCTCTATACACTGACAATACACAGTCACTGCATTGCCAATTGTCTGGTAGGAAAGATCAGGTCCACAAGTGAAGGTGCCATTAAACTGATTTATTGCCAAAAGCCTGTGCACAGGAATCTTCTCAACTAAAGGTTGGTACCTACTCAAGAGTTAAGATAAGGGTCCACGGAATTCAAGGGAACTTGGACTTAGTCCACTTGTGGCTACATAGGATTCTAGGCCAGTGATGGCGAACCTTTTAGAGACTGCGTGCCCAAACTGCAACCCAAAACCCACTTATTTATCACTGAGTGCCAGGTGGGCGTGGCCCACTGGGTGGGCGTGGCTGTGGTCATGCCAGGCTGGGTGGGTGTGGCCAAGGTGGGTGTGGTCACCTCGATGTTGCTCGAGGGGAGGGATGCCTGTGGGGGCCGGAAAGGATTGGGGAGGTCTCTGGCAAGTGGGACAGTGGGCAGGAGGCTCATCCTGTGGGGTGAGGCGAGGCAGGGTGGGGGTGCCATTGTGGCGAGGCAGGGGCCGGGGCCAGCGAGCGCATGGGGGCCAACATTATCCGTCAGCAGTCACAGCCTGCCGGCCCTTCGACTGGCGCACTCTGGGGCTCCGCAGCCCGCCGCCAGCAGTTCAGCCTGCCACCTCTGAGCTGGACGGCCTGCCGACAGCTGAGGAGGCAATGCAGTGAGTCGTGCCTGGGAAAAGGAGAGCATGCAAGGCCAGGAAGGATGGGATAGGGGGGGAGGGAAACCAGCCGTGCTGGGATGCATCCGGCCACATGGGACCTCGGCGAGTTAGTGGGCAACTGGTTGAAGAGGGACGGTTGCCATCTCCGGGGCATGGTGCGTGTGCCCACAGAGAGGGCTCCGAGTGCCGCCTCTGGCACGCGTGCCATAGGTTCGTCTCCACTGTTCTAGGCTGATTCCTCTCTTAACTCTGCCCTCAGGTTCTACCATTCCTTCTGCTACACTAATCCTGGGAACTGGAGTATGAAATATTACTGAATATTGAAGTCAACCAGATATTATAACAGACCTTTTCCTTTTGAAAGGCGACTTTGGCATATCTGCCACAGGAATCATCTGTTCTCCTGGACGTACCCACATGATGGGACCATCATCGCTGTCTTTCCGACTTTCTAGTTTCAGACTAGAGAGAGTCCCCCAGGGCAAAGTACACTAAAATGAAACACTCAGGTTTAAAATCTTATGTTATTTTTCTGATGCGACTATTTTAAGCTACGTATTTATTTTACAAAACGAAAAGCACCGTGTATCCGTCTACAACTTGGAACACGACTGGCAGCTGATGAACACAAAGCATTGAAACTTTCAATTTGAACGGAGATGGAAACGGAGACTGAAAACTTGTACATTCACAATGTTTTGAAGTCAAAGTGATGAGCGTGGCAAGCGTGCCAATTTCTACAAGAGACAAACTACTATCTACACCAGGGGTAGTCAACCTTGGCTCTTTTATGACTCGTGGACTTCAACTCCCAGAATTCCTGAGCCAGCACAGCTGGCTCAGGAATTCTGGGAGTTGAAGTCTACAAGTCATAAAAGAGCCAAGGTTGACTACCCCTGATCTACACGTTATGAGCTT